TTGCAACTGCGAATGAAATCAGCTTTATCAGAGATACCGTCCTGGAAGATTATTTGGCTATTTCCAACGAAGCTGACTGCTCATGCTCTGAGGAGCTTTGAGGCTGCTCTGAACTTGGAGTGAACAGAGGTGCAGAAAACCTTGTCAGGTCCCCGGAGAGCTTCCACCCTGCTGTTACCACAGGCAGCTTTGTATGTTCTTACCCATACAGCTGGTGTTTGTAAAAGGAGCAGCGCTACAGCCAGAGTTCCCATGAATGAGACTCTACTCCTTACTTTTTGAGAGCCAAGAGGAGTTCCTTAACATGAATGTTTATCCTATATGTCATAGCATCTGTTTCAGGAGTAGCTGCAAACCATGTGCCAACACCGGTGCAATAGAATGCTGGACCGGCAGTTCCTCTGCAGGGGGTAGGCCTTCTGCAGGTAGAGCTGTCCTTGCGTGTGTTTATTCACACACAGATGTCTAAAGAAGATTAGTCCCTTCATGCTTCTGAGCAGAAACACTTCTCCTTGGTGAGGAAAGGCCAGCATTCTGCTCTGCAGTCACTGAAGGAGATAAACTGCTCTCTTCAGAGGAGAGCTAGTGATGGCAGTGGTACAAGCCCACCTAGGAAAAGTATTACTTCTTTCCATCTTGCCCTGTTTGAGGATAGAGATGTTCAGACCAAGCAGTAGTAGATGAACAGTTTGTGTAGGAAAGAACAATGCATCTTTGAGACAATTATTTTTGAGAAGACAACATCTTTATCTTTGAATCCTGGGCCTGGGTTTTCCCTTGCCCTCAGAAGAAAACTTCTTTCCCTAGTTTTCACCCTTGGCCTGAGGAAGTGCTGCAACCCCAATGGTGCCTCAGGCCTGGGAAGGAGGATTCTACTTTCTCTGTTCCCATACATCTCCTCTAAGCTGCAATGGCTCATCCATTTTGCTGATCACTTTTTTCTCCCATGTTCTGCGTCAGTCCTGTTTGCCCCCTGAGACACACTTGCGTTGTTCAGGGCCTCCAGCAGCTTCAGGGCAGCAGCCTGCAGCTCTTCCTCCATCACTGCCTTTCCCATGCTCAGCAGCTGCTGCATTGTATGCAGCAAGCTCTGTACGTGCCTGTCCTGCAGCCTCAGGAAGAGATCCTCAATGTCAGTGGCAGGCAGCTGTGCCTGCTGCTGGCCGCTGACTGTCACCTCTGTGGGGTGTGAGGTGGAAGGCTGCATTTTCCCCAGCAGTGGCAAGCCATCAGGTGAGAAACTGGAGACATCAGCTCCTTCCATGTTAGGGCTGGAGCTGGATGGCTGGGTGGTTGCAGGAGAGGTGGGAAAAATAGGCTGGGGACTGAAGATAGCAGACAATGCTGCATCGCTGCTCAGGGCCACGTTGTCAAAAGTTTGTGTGCTGCCCAGGTTGGGCTTGTGCTCTCCTGGGCATGCAGTCCGCTGTGGAGGAGAAAAACATTTCTCTAGAGGTGGTGGGCCTGAGGAGCAGGTGCCTGGCCCCTGCCCTGTACTGTGACATTGGTACTCATAGCACTGTCCCATTCTTCCCATTCCCTGCCAAGATGAGCTCCCTTAAGCCCAAGGAGGGAAAGAATCCTTCTGCTGTCCTGATCATACCTCTCCATAAGTCTCCTTTTGTCCCTAGTTATCTTCCCATGAAGCCTGCACAACTCACTATTTCTCCTGCAGTAGCTTTGTTATTTCACCTTGCTTGGGAATGAGAGCTGGTCATAAGGACAGAGGTGGCTGTCAGAGGTTCATTTTTTTCAAGAATACCTTCCCCAATGTCTCATTTTTGGCAGGTGGTTGCAGGTGCCACCTGTGTAGACTGGTCAGCTTGGTGTGGATGCCCCTGACAAGTGGGCTGCCCACAGCTCTCCTTTACCTTCCCTGACTATAGCCTCTTTTTCGCACTTCCTCATTTCACATTCATTGCATCGGTGCCCAGAGCACAATGCACCAGGTCATCAGGAAATAGTGAAATAGCTCACCTTAATGAAATACCTTTTTGTAGTGCAGCGATAAAAAGCAAATGCACAGAAGTTGGGGAAGAAGGAAGTTTCTGGCAGTTCCGAGCATATGGGTCCTAGAAAAAAGCAAATAAAGCATGGACTTGGTGGTAAACTCCAGTGCTGAGGTCCCACCAACGTTCAGCAATAATCTGTCAAAAGACATCTCTCCATTAGAAAACCTCATGTGCTTGGGAGAAACTCCACTGCTTCCTGGTCATCTCAGCCACTGAAGCCCTGAGAAGAGGCTGGTGCTAAGTACATGTGGCTGCCGTCAGGTGTAAGACAGGATGTTCAGAAATAGATGCCTTCTTCTCACCTGGGACTACTGCCCATCCTCTCTCTTACCAGTTCCCAAGTGTCAGTCCCCTCCCAGCACAGAGTTTGCAGTGCTGGCACTGCAGGGCCCCTATCCATCTGCCTTCCCATGGCAGTTGTGGTTGCCTTTACCTTCTGGGATGACTCCATGGTTTTCATACTCATCCAGTCTCCGGACTGTGGGGTTCTGGCAGCCGTACAGCGCGCGAAGGTGGCAGGCGGTGCTGGCGCGTTGGGAGGTCTGAAGGGACCTGAAGAACTGGTGGTACTCATCATTGGAGAGTGGTGTGCCCAGTTGCTGTGCCTTTCCAACCCAAGGGCCAGCAGCGCAGCCCCAACCTGACAGCACTGGTGAGAAATGAAATGCAGGGGGGTAGGAGGAGGAAATGCTAACCATGGCACGCTCAGAAGAGCTGTCAAGGTGAGCCCAGACCTCTGTTGCCTTGTCTGGATGCGAGGTCCAGAACAGTGCTGTGAGAGGGTAAAAATTGAGGTTGAGGCATGGAGTGGACCAGCTCTGCCCATACTAACACAGGTGTAGTATTCTGGTGACAGTATGTGGCTGAGGGGCCTTCACCAAAATCTCTAGAGATTGAAATCCTGAGCTGGGAGGAAGGTCTGGGAAGTCCTGGCTGGTACTGAGGATGCAACTTTGCTATCAGACTTGGAGCAGGGAGGTGGATTCCTTTCAAGACTTTAATGTCTGCAAATTCTCTTTGTCTTTTAAGTGTGTGACCTCTTGAGTTAATGTAGTATGCCCCAACAGGTATGGATATGCCCTTAAAATGGTCCAAGAATTCACTGAACCCATGAGCAAAACTTAAAGCCAATTCTTCCCTGCAAAGAACATTATGAAAGCTGGCGATATCAGACATTTGGAGGCTAGATGAGCCCAAATAAAAGTGCCATGTGCAATCTTAGTTTCATCTCCTTATGCATATGCTTTGTATCCATTATTTAAGTCCACAGCAAGCTACTCTTCTTTCCTTAGGACTTCAGTGTCCCTTCATTGTGGAGACTTGACCTGTCCCACATGGGGAAGTAAAATTGTAAGATAGACTTGTGCTGCATTCAGGATATCTGCCTCATTTCCCACAGGGGTACGGAAGAAGGAAGCAGGAAGAAGCTGGAAGAGGAAGGGTAGTTTTGTGGGTGTTGTGCTAAGAAGTAGGTTTTATACCTGGCTACACCACAGAGGCTTCTGTGTGATGCTGGGCTAGTGCCAGGTTTCTCAGTGTGGTGTTGATGGAATTTTGCTTACCTTGTGTGTTGCCATTTATATGAAGGCTGAGGTCTCCTAGAGCTTTGGAGTCTGCATGTGCTGTATTTTGCATGCAAGTGCTACATAGCATCTACTCTGAGAAGACAGGGCTGAAGCATCTCAAACTGAGATTCTGAAAGTAGTGGGTATGTTTAACTTTAATCCTTCTCTGCCCTCATTTTGCTATTTGCAAAATCACTACAAATGAGTTAACAGCTGTGAAGCACTAGAATGTAGAGTGTATAGAAAGTTCACAAGGAAGAGAGTCATTTGAATGGGATCTGCACGTAAATCAAGCACAGAACAATAAGAATGACTGCTTACTGAACAGCTGCTCATTGCAAAGGCATTGTCCATCCCAGGACTAAAACAGCCAAAATCCATGTGAAAAGAAGATAAGCAAGAGCTGTGTTGCTGTGTGCACAGAGGGAACAAATCAAGAGTTGCAAAATGAATGCAATTTAGGGATGAGGTAAGCGTTCTTTTTGACTTTGCAACCTCTGGAGTAGTCTGTTAATCTTTGTCTTCTTTTTTCTTGTAAAGGCAAACTTAAACATTTCTACATGGCTTCTATCTTGTTAGGATCTCTGCCTTCTTATTAACATCTGTGTGCCTGTAGATGCAGCGTGATCAAATAAAAGCATGTAACTTCCCCCTTGAATTGACCATAGAGGTTATTGAGCCTTCTGTGAAACAGTATTAGATGAGAATGAGACACAGCAAAGTGACTGTAGAAATCTACAGAAAGTGGGGGAATGAGGAAACCAGGAAATACGGGACTCCCCCACAGCCTCTCACTAGGATGTAGGCTGATAGGCCATGTCTTTCTGTCCATTTCTTCCAACTCTAAAACCTTCTGTTTGCCTTTAACCAAGGTCGTCTCTCACATCTCCCTCTGCCTCCCCTACCTCCTCATCTGGCCGTTTCTTCCCTTCTTGGCTGGTTGTTTGAGCCCAAGTCTCTGCTCTCATTTCTGATCTGTGTGCCAAGCTGTGTCACATCTCCAGACTCCACCCCTGCTCCAGCCTCTGCTCAGCTGTGTCCAGCTCCAAGTCCTTCCTCCCTCAGGCCAGTCCCTCCCTGTCTCTCCTTGATGAATAACATACCAGCTCCAGTGTATAAAGACTGGTGAAACTGTAAGCATCTGAGATCTGTGTATTGATGTTTTTTGGGGGTGCCCTTTTCTCTTCATCTCGCCTCCAGTGTGCCCACACTGGAGTACACCAGGGGTGAGGAGGCAGAGAGCAGCCAGGTGAGCCATCCTTCCTCACACCCTGACTGGAAGGAGAGACATTTTCTACTCACTGATCAGAACCAGGAGAGCCTGCATGACTGACATGGCACTGTCCTGCCTGAGCCGGGCTATCATCTGCCCGTGTCCTCCCTCCTGTACCAGGGGTGCTGGGACAGGCAGTGGGGAGCACAGCACGCTTCCCTTGTTTCTGGTGGTGATGTGTGGTGTCACAGACGCCTTCATTCTTTGCTCTGTTGTCCCTTGCTTCCGTGGTTCCCCACTTCCGTGCACCCAACAGCAGCTGTTTGTTGGGTTTGTGGCAGATATATGTCCTCCCTATTACTGCTTAACCGAAGGTTGGCACAGTGGCTCCCTGTGCCAGCTGTGTCATGGGGCTGTCCCTCTGGGCCTCTGCCCATCATGTCAGGAGCTCAGTGCAGCTCATCTCCTTCCTCCTTTGTCTCACTGATGTCTCATCAGCCACGATGTTGCCTAAGGACATGGCACTGTCCAGGCATGGCTGACCAGCACCTTGTCCCCACCTGGGTACTTGATAGTGTTTCAGGCTTCCCACCTTTTTTATGGCAGTCATCAAGCAGTAATGCTTTTCTGCCACATTCCCAGCTCTGCACAAAATAAGCTCTCTTCTGTATCTGCTTTTTTCTTCTGCAGGTGCTCACCATCTTGGGATGCATATCGACCGTCTGTTTGGAGCTACTCTTGAATGATAACAGAAAGGGACTGAAGCAGAAAGGTGGCTTTCCTCTCCTAAAACCATCAGGATGTCTCAGCAGGGTCAGGCCTACCTGCTGCCTTGTATGTTGAACGGGGACACGTGGGGAGGGAGGGCTCAGCTTCCCTGCCGTGTTCCAGTGGCACGATGCGAAGCCATGTAACTGAAATGATGCAATGCCATTGCAGAGTTAGTATTCACATGCACAGTTTTTAAGCATCTTCTTTCTCTAACCTGTACCTTTCTGGCTGTTCAGAATTCAGCATCTTAAAATGCCCCAGTGTGCTGCACAAATGCAGCCCAGAGCTAAATAGGTGACCTAATTTTCCATCCTACAAAACCCACTCGTACGCTGTACTTCTGCTCTGAAGAAGAAGTCCTTGTATGTTGGCACTCAAAACTGCCCAATCCAAATGATGTCAGTGCTCACACACACACGTGTGTAGCTGCATTTTTCAGCTCATCTCCAGCCCTGGGCTCTGTCAGGAATGAGGCAGCCACAGTGTCATTATGCTGAACAGGATGGGAAATTCTGCCTTTGGTCTGCTATTGCTGCTGCTGATGTGTGAACAGATCAAAATCCCTCTCTCAGCCCTCCCTCAGCCTGGCTGAGTCACCGAGCAAATGCTCCTCCATGGAAGCAATGGAGAAGACTCTAGGCAGATGCAGAAAGCAACGCATGCATGCGGGCAGCATTTTCCTCTGCTTCAGCAGGGCTGTACTGTGTTCATATTTAACACACCGGGAGGAAAGTTGACAGGGAGAAAATGGCTTCAGGCTTCTCTGTTTTCTGTACAGAACTCAGCAAGCTGACAGGCAGCTCTCAGTAGTATGTGCAGCCAACCCTGTCTTTGCTGTGTGAGCGGCCCTGGCTAGCAGACCCCACCAGCAGTGTCACAGTGTCACAGTGGCAGAACATCAGTGACTCTGACTTGTGCTTCTGAGCATTATTTTATATCTGGCCTAGGATGCTTTCATTTCCTAAATCTCATTCTCAACACTGCTACTAGAACTGATGGTATTTGTTACATCTGTTTCCCCTCTCTGATCAGGAGCTGCTGTCCCTGACTTTTCTTTAACCTCATGGACAGAGTGAAGAAAAACAGCACTGTGTCCAGGAGGAACTGAACTCTGAAACAGTGGAGGTACTGCTCAAAAGGTGAGAAATTGAATAGTGCATGCCTGAAGGAGAAATACAAGAGTAAATGCTGAAAATCTGGTTTTGTTGTGCTGCATGCTTCACACTCATCCTACGTCTCAGCTCCTGTACTAATAGACTTTGTTCTCAGGAATATTTCCAGGCAAAGTATGCAAAAGTGAAACACGGTCCTGGGGAATCCAGGACCCTTTGAAGAGAAGTCTGTGTGAAATTAAATCAAATACCATGTTTTTTTTCAGCAAAGATCTATATTTGGAATGTTAGGAGGCATAAGTAATCGCAATGTGGCTTTTTCTTCCTTTTACTCTGACGATATTTTAATGTGTTGTTGGTCAGTAAGCTGTGCTGAAGTCTGTGCTGGGGGGGGAGTGCTGTTATTTTATTTGTACTGTGAACGCTTTTCAGCCTTGAGTGTTATAAGCAGAACTTTGAGCATCAGTATAACCACTGTGGTGTTGTTTTCCCACATCAACAGATCAGCCAACTCAAAACCTGAGGGGCTTAGCCTGCAGCATTCTGCTCTGCTTCTGACCTCCCACACATAAGATGATACTGGCACTGTAAGCAGTGCCCTCCAGCTAATCTGCTAGCATTCATTTCGCAGTTGTGTTCTCCGCACTAATACAAAATCAGGAGCCTCAAAATGTTTCAGTCTAAATGTACCTTTCCATGCTTGATTAATAAAGTAGTTTATCGTTCCGTTCAGTTGCCTATCTGTTCTGTAGACAAATTCTAGATACAATTTGCTGCAGAATATGTCTGGTTTTCTTTGTAAGGAAAAGGTTTATGACTGCAAAGAAGAAAAGTACTCTGCTTGGCAGGGGATGATGTTTCTGTGGTGCTGTCTGCTTCCTTCCTTGATTAAGCATGGGAATGCTGGAGAACAGCAGTGATTCACAGAGAACAGGAAGAGAAAAAAGGAGAGGGTTATTCATCGCTAGCTCCTCTGTTCACTCCAGCAGGTGGCCAGACCATGGGTGACGTACAGAAGGCTCAACCTCATCAGAAAAAGCCTGCGAGAGCTGACTTGCACCCGTTCATCTCCAGAAGGCCCACTACAGGTACTCTGCAGGACTCTGACAAAAGACCAGACTGCAAGCAGGAGCTGGAGATGGAAAATGAGGTGAAGCTGTCTTTTGTAAAGAGGCAGGGAAAGGGAGCTGTCATGTCACTGTGGGATTGCGAGGGTGATGGCACTCCCATTGGCAAGGTGGTCCTTGCTGGGGACAGGCCAGACCCTCCAGTGTGTGGGAACGGCACCATTTGGATTCAGCAGGTGGGAGAGAAAACCTACGAGTGTCCCGAATGTGGGAAGAACTTCAGCCGGAGCTCGTATCTCAGCCAGCACCAGAGGATCCACCTGGCAGAGAAACCCTTCAGCTGCTCTGAATGTGGGAAGAGTTTCACCCGCAACTCGGACCTGATCAAACACCAGCGGATCCATACAGGAGAGAAGCCCTACCAGTGCAACGAGTGTGAGAAGACCTTCAGCCAGAGGTCCAACGTGATCAGGCACCAGCGGACCCACACGGGAGAGAGACACTACCAGTGCAATGAGTGCGGGAAGAGCTTCAGCCAGAACTCGCATCTCATCGTCCATCAGAGAAGCCACAAAGGAGAGAAACCATTTCATTGCCCCCGGTGTGAGAAAAGCTTCAGCGACCGCTCCTCCCTTATCATACACCGGAGGGTCCACACTGGAGAGAAGCCCCACAAGTGCCAGGTATGCGGGAAACATTTTCGAGACAGTTCAGCCATCATTCGGCATCACAGGATCCACACAGGAGAGAAACCCTACAAGTGCACCGAATGTGGGAAAACCTTCCGCCAGAGCTCCTCGCTGGTGACCCACATGCGGACGCATACAGGCGAGAAACCCTACAAATGCCCTGTGTGTGGGAAGAGCTTTAGCCAGAGCTCAGCACTCACCACGCATCGCCGCATCCACGGGGGAGAGGTGTTGCCCCTGTACCGTGGCAGCCTCTTGGCCAGCCCCTACCAGTGTGCTGAGTGCGGCAGGCGGTGCAGCGACCAACCCACTCTCATCAAGCACCAGACCACGCATGTGGAGGAGCGGCCCTACATCTGCGTGGAGTGTGGGGACAGCTTCCGTCGGAGCTCAGCACTCAATGTCCACTTGAGGATCCACCGTGGGGAGAGACCCTACAAGTGTGAGGAATGTGGGAAAACCTTCCGGCATAGCTCAGCTTTGGGTGCACACTTGAGGATTCATGCGGGATCCAAGCCCTACGAGTGCGCTGAGTGTGGGAAAAGCTTCCGGAAAAGCTCGACACTTAAAGTGCATTTGAAAATCCATGTGGTCAAGAAGCCTTATAAATGTACTGTGGGTAGGAGGACTCTCTCTTCCTGTTCTCTTCTCCCATAGGGTTGGTTGGAGCTGAAAATGAGCAGAATTTGCTTGTGTCTGAGGGCACATGAAAAACATAGGTACTGAGAATTACAGTGGCAAAAGGCTAAGGAGACACCGTAGCAGCTCTAGTGTCAGGGCTGGGTGCTTAACCCCAGTGGTATGTTAAATTATGAGGTCAGGGAGCTCATCCTAGGAACTGCGTACTGACAGTTAAAAAGAGTACTGAGAGCTGAGGGGAGACCAGGTTCTGTGTAATTTGGGGACTGTGAGTATGTGGTAGAATACAAGCAGAAGAATTGGGCTTTTAAAATAACTTTTCAACAAAGCAAAAGATCAAATTTAAAAGGTCCAAGTTGGCTCTCATTCAAAACTCCAGCTCATTAGGCACTGCAGTAGACTTAGAAACTCATATTTTCCATTAAATATGGTGAGTTGGCCCCGTATTTGAGCAGGCACTTCCAATTCCTTGAGTCCAAAACTGAGGAGGTGAACCTCAACCTGTTTTGTTTTTCAATCCTCTGTTCCAAATCCTACATGGGACGATGAATTCCTACCTCCATACAGAACATCTGGGTGACAAAATGGCTGAGTAAAGTGAAACTGACAGAGCTGTTCCCAGAAGACTTGGACATGCAAGCGTAGCCAGTTGGAACACTGCCCATCACTGGTGTTGGGCAGCTTTGTCCTCGTTTTTTAACACCTTCCTGTTAGGGACATCAACAAAACGTGGGCAAAACAGTGGCCTTACATTGTTTAACCAAAAAAAAAAAAAGGGTTCCCCCTAGATGTGTGTGTGTTATACTTAGCACGTATGATAGGTTCCTACTGGTAGGCAGGAGACTGTTTGCAATTTTGCAGTCCTTTATGTGAGAGAACTCTTCTTCAGCTCCCTGCTGTTTGTGCTTTAGTAACGTGTAAAGCTCGGTGTTAAGTTAGGAATTCGAGCTTTAGGTTAGGAATTCCTATATTACACGTAGTGCTGTGGCAGTGACTGCGTTACAGAAACCTCCTCTGTATTGCTGTGTTTTGTTACGAGGGATGTGTTTCCATCCTAAATAAACTTTTTTTTTTCTTTTTTTTTTCTTTTTTTCCCTCTGTGTGATGCTGTTTTGTGTCACTGTATGCATTCATGGGAAAGGAGAAGAGAAGGCTCCGGGGAGACTTCATTGCGGCTTTCCAGTTCTTGTGGGGAGCTTACAAGTAGGAGGGGGCCGACTTTATACACAGCCCGGCGGTGATAGGACGAGGGGGGCTGGCTTCAAACCAACAGAGGGGAGGTTGAAGTTAGATGTTAGGGGAAATCCTCCATTCAGAATCAGCCCAGCCGCCGGGTCCGCCTTGCCGGGCACCTTCCGCCTCTCTCGGCCGTCCCCTCGCGTCACGGGAAGCGGGCGGAGCTCTAGCGGCGCTCGTTTCGAAGCGGGGAGGCCGGAATGGATGGCGGGACGGCGGAGGTGGGCGGCGGGCTGGCGGCTGGCAGCTGGCAGGGAGCGGGCCACGGGAGGGAGCGGGCGGGTGTTGTCCGATGCTCGCTCACGGCTGTGTGCCCGCAGGCGGTGAGCGGCCCGGGTCGGGCCAGCTTCCCGTTCCCCTACACGCCGTACCGCATCCAGGAGCAGTTCATGGCTGCGCTGTACGCTGCGCTGGAGGCCGGGCGGGTCGGAATCTTCGAGAGCCCCACGGGCACGGTGAGCAGCGGGGGTGAGGGGGGGATAGTGACAGTGTGACAGGGCTGCTTGCAGTGTGGTGCTCGGAGTGGTGCTTGTGGAGGGGGAGCAGGGCAGGCCGGGCTCATTCCCTGCACAAGCACAGAATCTGGGGTCCTGGTACAAGGTGTGTTAGCCACGTCTGTGGTGCCAGTTTTGGAACTGTGGGGATAAAACACAGAAAGAGGTGCCGCTTGCAGGGTCATAAAGTGCGACATCGGTATCTCTGTGTGTGGCTTTGGCCTGGTCCCACTCAGCTGGAACCAACTCCAGGTGCCTCTCCTGTGTGGAGGAGCCAGTTACAGCAGTGACACTGTGTGCGGCTTGTGCTGTTTGTTTCCAATACCAGGGAAAGTCACTGAGCCTCATCTGCGGGGCCCTCTCCTGGCTCCGAGACTTTGAGGAGAAGAAGCAGCAGGAGGAGGCACGGCTTCTGGCTCCAGAGGGCAGCGGGCAAGAAGAGAAGCAGCCCCTGGTTTCTGGTGGTCTGGCGTGTCCAAACAGCAGGGATGCATCTGGGGAACCAGACTGGATCACGGCCTTTGTGCAGAAGAAAGAAGAGCAGGATTTGGTGCACAGACTGAAGGTTGAGAAATGCTCACATGTAGAGAAGGGGGGAAGTAGCAAGGCGTGAGGAGCAGGATGGGTGACGTCATGGGTGGTGACTTGGTGGTCCGTGTCACTTAAAAGGGATGAGGCATTCCTGTGTAAGTTGCGTGAAGTATAGGATAGTTGCTGTCAACGTAGCAACATTCATAGGCCTGTAAGGACAAAGGGACTGCTGGCAGTTTTGTTTCAGAGTTGGATTATTTTTATTTTATTTTATTTTCTATTCCTGGGTAAAAAGGAAAGTAATTATGCCTGTTCTATAGGACTAGGCAGACTTCATCCTTCCATCATTCTCCCTTCATTTCAGGAAGAGCAGATCAGGAGGAAAAAGCGAGAAGAACGTCTTGAGAAAATCCGCCATAATGTACAGTTAAAATATGCAGCGAAGAGGAAGGTGAGTTGGCCTGCAGAGGTTAGAATCATGGTATCATAGAATCGTACAATGGCTTGGGTTGCAAGGGATCTCAAAGACCGTTTAGTTCCATCCCCTTGCCATGGGGTTGACTGCCACCCCAGGGCAAGGCACCCATCCACCCTGATCCTGAACACCTTCAGAGATAAGGCGCCCACATCTTCTTTGGGCAGCTCATGGCAGTGCCTCACTGCCCTCTCAATGTAGAACTTCCTCCTGATGTCTAAACTAACTCTCCTCTTCTTTAGTTTAAAACCATTTTCCTTTGTCTTAATAATCTGGAGTGTTGATAATACTTGCTTGTACATGTGACTTGTCTCTATATTGTCCAGCCCCTGTATTTAGGGAGCTCTTAGTACTGGATTGCCGAATTGGCTCTGTGAAATTTTTGATTAGGTTATCTTTTCAACATACAGATGTAAAAAGCAACTTGTGCTTAGAGAATTTTCTGTGGCAACATGTGTGTGTGGATTAAAAGAATGCCTGTTCTGATGGCTTATTTGCTTTTAAGTGCTAATATTTGGGGTTTTTGGAAAGCTCTTTCTTACATAAGTATGTGTGGACGTGGTACTTCTGGAATAAAACCTGTAGAACTGGGATTAAATTTAAGACTGCAGGAACTGAAGACCCAAAAAAAAACAAGCGAGGTCAGGCTTTGGTTGTACTCACCACTGTATGTGATTACCTTCATAGATACTATCTCCCACAGTATTCTCCTGGGGAAGCTGACAGCCCGTGGCTTGGACAGGTACACTGTTTGCTGGGTAAAGAACTGGCTGGAGGGCCAGGCCCAGAGAGTGGTGGTGAATGGAGCCAGATCTAGCTGGAAGCCAGTCATGAGTGGTGTTCCCCAGGGATCAGTACTGTCCTTATTGATGATCTGAATGATAGGATTGAGTGTACCCTCAGTAAGTTTGCACATGACACCAAGTTGGGAGAGAGTATTGGATGTGCCTGAGGGTAGGAAGGCTCTACAAAGGGATCTGGACAGGCTGGATCACTGGGCTGTGGCCAATTGCATGACCATCAATCAGGCCAAGTTGCAGGTCTTGCACTTTAGTCACAACAACTCCATGTAATGCTACAGGCTTGGGGCACAGTGACTAGAAAGCTGCATGGAGGAAAAGGATCTGGAAGTGTGAGTTGACCCTGAGCTGAGCATAAGCCAGCAGTGTGCCCAGGTGTCCAAGAAGGCCAACAGCATCCTAGCTTGGATGAGAAAATAGTGCAGTCAGCAGGAGCAGGGAGGTGACTGTCCCTCTGCACTCAGCTCTGGTGAGGCAGCACCTTGTGTGCTGTGTTCAGTTTTGGGCCCCTTGCTACAATAAAGGCATTGAAGTGCAGGAGTGTGTCTGAAGAAGGTGAAAGATCTGGAACACAGGTCTGGAGCAGAGGGAACTGCGATTGTTCAGTCTGGAGAAGAAGAGGCTCAGGGGAGAACTTACCACTCCCTGTGACCTGAAAGGAGGCTGTGGTGTGTTGGGGGTTGGCTTCTTCTTCCAGGTAACAGTGATAGGTTGAGAGGGAATGGCCTCAAGTTGCACCAGGAGAGGCTAAGGTTGGGTATTAGGAAACATTTCTTCTCAGAAAGAGTGGTGCTGCACTGGCATAGGCTGCCCAGGCAGGTGGTTGAGTCGCTGTTCCTGGAGGTGTTCAAGAACTGTGTGGATGTGGCACTGGGCATGGTGCTGTTGGGTTGGAGTTGGACTGGACGATCTTAGAAATCTTTTCCAACCTTAATGATTCTGTAATTCTTTGTAAATATAATTGTATTGTTCGGAAGCATCTCTTTTCTACACACAGAAAGTTGACATGTATTTGTCTGCCATTTAATTGAGTGATCTGGCTTCAATAACCTTAACTTGAAGAGCTTTTTGATGGTATGATTTAATCTTAGAAATACCCACTTCAAGTTCCTAAACAGGCACTTGTAAGGCAGCCAGGCTGTTTGTGTACTCCATCTCAAGTGCTGTGTCAATTCCTGACAAAAGGATGTAGCATAAATATCAAAGGTTTAGAGGTGAATGGTGAATCAAAACCAAGTAGAACAAAGAACTTCTTTCTCTTAAAGGAGAATGAAAAGCATGGAAAATGAGATTTGTGATAAAAAGGACAAAGGCAAATTTCAGAAACGCTATATAGATTTGGAAAAGCAGGTATTTCAGCTACCCCTGTAAACTGCCTTTCTTTATCATGCCATGGTGATGGAATGCTCACTGAAGTTACAACATACCGTCTTCAGACTGAAGAAGGAACTTTTCTTTGTCAGAACAGAAAATTAATAAAAAACTGTTCTTCAACAATTTAATAGAATTTGTGCAGAGGGATAGACCTGTGTTAGAATAAGGACCACGTAATGGGGGAAAAAACAAGAACAAGAGAAAATTTGTGCTCTAAAACAGGTATTGAGTTTCTTGTAGCCTTAGGTTAGCTGTGAATTATTTGATTACATCCTTATGCGTTTGCTTGGTTGTTGGTTTTTTATTTACAGTTTTTTTCTGAGGCAGTCATTTTTATTGGCTAACTTAAGCAACTAATCCTGGATTGTAGGCATATGGTCACTTCAGGAGTTAGGTGTTTAGAGGGTCCTTTGCACAGAAGGCTTTTATGTGGGCAAGTCTTTGGTTGCTGTCACCTGCACTGTGTGGCACTGAACTGCTTCAAGTAGTTGTGGTGTGTGTGCTTGTCCTGCTGGGGATACACACAGCAATCCCTCCTCTGTGCTATGGGGAAGAGACTGAGCTGTCCTCTGAACTGCAGGTGGCATAAAGTGATGCAAGTGCTGCTTCCCTGGGTGAGAAATAATGAGATGGTGTGCTCCTTTCAGAGATCTGAAGAGGATGAAATGAAGCGCCTTCTTCAGCTCAGCAAAGAGATTCTGTCAGAGGGAGCTGGAGCAGCTGTCCCAGAGCAGCTGGATCACAATGAGGAGGAGCTGATCCTTGCTGAATATGAGAGTGACGAAGAAAAGAAAGTGGGATCTGGGTAAGGACAGGGGCTGAGGGGGTTCTAATGTTTCATGATCATTTTTGGCTTGCCTTAATTGAAGGGATTTCAGCTGTTCAGCAGCGACTGCTTTCTTGAGCATCTTACGCTGTTAGATATATAGGTGGCTCTGTCTTGTGCACATCTGGAGTTTCTTCCCCCATTGAAGCTGTGGTACTGATTGGTTGGTAGGTTGTTTTTTCATTAGGATTCTCTTTTTTTTTTTTTTTTTTTTTTTTTTTGGTTGTTGTTGCTTTTTTTCCCGCTCACTGTCATCAGCCTCAAGTGTCTTCTGAGAAAGCAGGTCTTTCTTACAATGCATGAGAACCTCCTGCCTTTTCCCATGCCTGTTTCCCAGAGCGCCTCTGGATGCTGGGTGAATGCCTTGAGATGAACTTTGCATTAGAAAAGCAAAATGCTCCTGGGGGCATCAAAGGAAGCTATCAGTTCTGCAGATTAGCAATGGCATCTTTTGATATTCTGAAGGGAGAGAAGGTCACATTTTGAAGACTGGGCTACAGCACGAAAACCAAGTGCACACTTTAACATATACAACTGTTCTTTTGGCGCTATGCAGAAAGCCAGGAGCCAGAGTTTTCAGCATGAAAAGACAAATACATCTAAAATACAAATTTACTAATTAGTATCTAGACAGATCCTCCTGCCTTAAAATCGCAAAGCAGTTAAGCTACATATAAATGAAGCAGTTACTAAGCATTAAACTGCTGTTGCCTTTGAGGAATTGTATGGCAGCTAAATATCTTCCTGAAACTTTTTCTTCTTCATGCAACAGCTTGAGGGTGGTAAATTGTCTCTAAGGGGAATGCTTTATAAAAATAAATAAATAAGCATACCAAAGGATAGTATAGCTCTGATTAGTTTATGCCTGGGGCTTAGAAAACACCAGATTTTTAATTTTTTTTTTTTTTTAAAGATGCTTCTTGAAGTTGCTAAAGATACAACCCTACAGACATTTTTCTTTTAAAGAGCAAAGCTTGGCATGATTGTGCCCACCTATAGTATTCTTAGAAAGTCATTTTTTTTACGTGCTGATGACACAAGCACCTCCCTTGAGGGAGAGCATCCTTTGTTTCTACCTCCCAGTCACTGAAAGCAAACTCTTTGGGCTTTGTCTTTTCTTAGGCTGGAGGAAGATGATGATGATGATTTGGAAGAAGAGCATGTGACGAAGGTGAGATGAGGAGGGTAATTTGTGCCACCTGATAGAATAGTGTGAGAGAATTATGGCTTCGTTGCACCCTTCCCAGAGTAATGCAGTATGGAAGGATTTAGGAAGTGCCATCCATGGACGGCCAAGTTTGTTGATAATAGCAACCGGTTCTGCTGCTCTCATTTCCTTCTGGGTTATACTGGCTGCCTAAGCAGTTTGCTCTGCTAACATGGCTGACATTTTTCTGTGGCTTGCTGCAAGAAGCACATATTCATCACTCTACAACGAGTCCCGGTTATTGTAAGGCCTTGGAAAATTCAATGGAAACGAAGGACAAATGCACAGCAGAAAGTAAAGAGAAGGCTGTTGGCCTTGGCAGTTACACGGTGACATTCCAGCATATGCCTTCCTTTGTGTTTTGAAGGCTTCAGCAAGATTAACGTTGCTGAGGTGCTTGGCTGCCTCGCTCCAGGATTGGTTATAGAATAGGAGGTTGGCTTCCATATTCTTCTCATCTTTCTTCGGTCTTCCTCATTGCAGATTTACTACTGCAGCCGCACTCATTCCCAGTTGTCTCAGTTTGTCCATGAAGTGCAGAAAAGTCCTTTTGGCAAAGGCACGCGTCTGGTCTCCTTGGGATCCAGGCAGGTACGTGGTATGGTCACAAAGGACCCAGAGTGTGTGTTCATTCAGTACAAAGGACTTTGCTAGGAGGTGTGTGAACGCGACACCTCAGAAGGCATCTCGGGGACTGAGGTGAGTCTTCCATTGGAAAAGCTATTTATGTGTCGTGATACAGATCCGTGCAATGTACCTTCTTCTGTGAGCCGTTCAGCCATTTGCCCTTTGATGTAAATGCAAGTCTGTTTTCCCTCTTCTGATGTGGAAGATTATAGATGCCTGAGTCACTGGGAAGGCACTCTTGTAGATATTAATTCTGCTAGCGTTTCTTTAGAAGTTGTGTAGCAGTGAGCCATCTGAGGACACCTATCTTCATTTTCTGTCCTTACTGATTTCTTTTGGGGTTTTGAGCATGCTTGTTGCAGCAGCTACACAAGGTGCCTGACTTCTGGTTTGGAATCTGGCCTGGGATTGCTTTAAGTAAGTCTGTTTTACAGCAGAGTGCATACTGAACACTCTTTGACCTGCTGTCCCCTCTCTTTGCATGTCAAAGAACCTGTGTGTGAATGAGGAGGTGCGCCGCTTGGGGGCTCTGCAGCTCATCAATGACCGCTGCACAGAGATGCAAAAGAACAAACACGGTATGAACACTTCAGCACTGGGAAGCGATGGCTGATAAAGCTGGTGGGGGTGAGAGGCTGCAGGCAGTGCACTCTGCCAGCCAGTTCTAGGAAGAGAGCGGTAGGAGTCTGAAAAGGGCAAGCTGGGTGAGCAGAGCTAGAGATCCTTAGTGCTTCTACCTTTTGTACTTGGTTAGCACACCAAGGTCTGTATGTATTTGCTGAGTGTCTTGCATTGATCAGGACTTGCGCAATGGAAGGATGCTTGTCTTTGTAACTTACTGCTAGAAATGTGGGGAAATGTCACATGAGTAAATCCAACCAGCAAGAGCAGTGTCCGCAGCGAGGGTGGAAATGTCACTGCTTTCATACTCCTTCAATAGATGATGGGTCAGATACTCAAGACAAAGGCTGCTTTGAAGTTCAGAAGGTACCGCTACCAGGGTACAAAGTAGTGAGTTTAGATTTTTCAGTGGTACTCATGGCTTGCCTTTGATTTCTGCTGTCAGAAAAGAAGAGTGATGCAGAAGGGAAGAAGAGACGTGTGAGTCGCACTGTGTGCCCATTTTATTCCTATGAGCAAATGCAGTTTCTCCGTGATGAAGTTCTAGTGGAAGTGAAGGATATCGAGCAATTGGTGACTTTGGGAAAGGAGACCAAAGCCTGCCCCTATTATGGGAGTCGATACGCTATTCCTGCTGCTCAGGTAAGGTGTGGACACTGCTTAGGGAATCAGTGCCAGGATCTCTAAGAATAAACCAATTACTAAAGCAAAGCAGCACTTTGTTGCATAGTGTTTTTGGAGTCTGTAAAGAGGTTGTGTTTCTGTCAGGTTTAGCTTTGCTGAAAAAGGAAAGAGTATCTCTTTCAAGCTAGTAGGGAGGCTGTAAGTGTGCCAGTTTTGGATCAAGCATTTTGAAATACTTGAAATGTTCAGTAACTGAGGTGATACAGGCACATGTCTATAGTCTTAGGATTTGCCAGTGCTCTTCTTTGCTTGGTTCTCTGTTAACAGACACGCTTTCAGTCCTTAAAAGGAGATTAGGAAGGTAACTTGCTGTTGCGCTTCTAGGCTGCTCTTACAATAATTTGGGAGTCAAACTAGTTCAGGAATCAGTAGGCACAATCATTTTCCCTCAGCTTACCTCTCAAGCACATTCTTCTGTCTCTTCTGCTACTTCTCCCATAATAAGAGTAAGTAACTTGATGGAATGCTGCAAGGCCATCTGATGTAGGCCTATTATGAGCTGGTGAGAGCTCTAAGTCCATCCGGGTGAGAGCTGGAATGAGAGCAGCGTGTGCTTCCCCTGTAGCTGGTGGTGCTGCCCTACCAGATGCTCTTGCATGAGGCCACCAGGAACGCTGCAGGGATCATCCTGAAGGACCAGGTTGTAATCATCGACGAGGCCCACAACCTCATAGACACCATCACCTGTATCCATAGTGCGGAGGTCAGTGGCTCTCAGGTGAGTCGTGGCCTGGCCTGTTAACTGTGGGTGAGCACCCTTTCTCAACTCCTATAATACCAGCTCTGCTTTTTGTCCTTGTAGCTGTGCTGTGCCCACTCCCAGCTGCTGCAGTACATGGAGCGATACAGGTGAGGATCTCAGAGAAGACTGTAACAGCAGCAGGCAGCATGGATGCTGTGGCTTGTCTCACGTCTGCAAGGCCTTTCTTGCTTTTTCCCAGAGGAAGGTTATTTGCATTAATACTTCTGCAGATGAAAAGCCACTTGCATCATTATCTCTGTCTAGAACCCATCTAAGTCAGACTCCTGGGGCTGGTATTAAGCAGTGAGAAAGGGGATACCCTGAGGATTCTGCCTTTTCCTTACACTCTGTTTTTTTCCCAATCTCTCTCTAATCATTCCTGCTTTGTGATGCAGAGTTATGAAAGCTCCGGTCTTTCATCTCCTGGATCTTAACCTTTTGTGGGCTGACTGGCATTATAGAAGAGGCAGGAAGCTCTGAGGAGGAGGAAGCTCTGTGTTTTTTGACTGTGACCAAATCTCACATCTTGTCATACCTGCAGTGGCTGATTGTTGTGCTCAGTGCTAATCACTGAATTTGCACAATGTCATCACGGCAGAGACGTGGGGGTCACTGCCATTGTAATTTGTGTGTGAGGACAAAGGCGTCTGTAGGAACAGCCAAGTGCTTGGGCTGCATGGGTGAGTGCATGGGGGTGGCTGTCAGTAGGGTGTTCAGAGCCCAGTCACAAACAGGGAGTATGAGCAAATGTCTTATGTAGGGCACAGCTGATGGCTTGTTCAAGGTTATCAGGAAGCCTGTGTGAAGCCTGGAAGTAGGGCCAAGCGCCACGTAGCAGAATCTGCTTCCTAACTGCTTCTTCCCAGTTCCCCAGCATATAGATCTTCTCTACTGCTGTCTGGTTCTTTTCAGCCCCAAATTAAGGGGAGTTCAGTTACTTGTCTCTGCAGCTTAGGAAGTTGTGTGTTAGTCCTTGAAGATGTCTTGGAGCCTAATACCTTCTTTTTTTTTCTTTCCACAGTAAACGTTTGAAGGCAAAGAACTTGATGTACATTAAGCAGATCCTGTATTTGCTGGAGCGGTTTGTAGTCATGCTGGGAGGTAAGCAAGCCATTTCTCTCTCTGTGGATGCTTAGAAACTCAGAGGCATCTGATCTTCCTGTGGAGCATTGTCCCTGCTCCTGCACAGGCTGTGAGGAGTTGCTGCTCTTGTTTGATGCCAGTATTATCATTTCTCAGCCTGTTTTATAACATGAGGATACGGTGTCTGTCTGAAACCCTCTCTTTTTTCGTTAGCTGAGGAGCAGAGCGTGATGTTGTAAGTTGATAGGAGCAGTTCCCCTCTTCCTGTGTGATTTTTCAGATCTGATTTGAATGGGGAGGTGGTGTGGTCTAAAGTGAGGAATACAGCAAGTGTGACAGTAATCAGCACTACACAAAAGCTGCACAGAATAATCTTCCTGTGTCATCTGGTGGCAAGACTTCTGCCTGTGGCAAGACCTCTGCCTGTGGCAGGCATGCCTCTGCAGAGTGATTTTATTTTTTCTCTTCTTTTCTTGAAAGGTGCCTTTCCTTTCTGTGACTTTTAAATTTACTGGCATTCGTGTGGCTCCTCTCCTGTAACACACTGTCCTCTATACATCAGTGTGCCTTAAGGAGAGCCCACCATAACCTCTTACACAGGGAAAAAGCAGCTTTTGATGCAGGAGCGTGTTGGTGCCCTGTGCCCTTCTCTTAGATGAGAACTTCTGTCCCTGCTGGTCTTCCTTTCCTGACACTGGGCTCAATGCTTTCATTAGTCTGCAGCCCGAGTACAGCTTCATGATCAAGGCTGCAAAGTGAATTGTGAGGTGGGTGTTAAACACTGGCACATAAAGCACAGTGAATGGCAGCAATTAATACTGTTCTGTCTGTCAGGGTCTGAGCGTGGAACTGTCCTCAGGTTTTCCCCTTATCCCAATCACCTGTCAGCCTGTGCGCCTCCCGGTGCTGCACTGAAGAGGGGTGAGGGATGCACTGCAGTCCCTGTCCCTTCATCTTTGCAGCTTGATGACTGTGTGAGCATTTGTATGCACCCGCCCTACCTGCTGCCTCCTGCTACAGAAGGAATGTAGATGGCATTTCTTAAGATGCAGCAGCACACTTGTCCTACAGTGTGGGGCTATCCTGCAAGGGAAAGAAAAGCTGAGTGGGAGCTGTCATTTTCTCTGCATAGCTACTTCTTCCAGATGTGAAATTGATTCTTGGTTCTTTGGAGGTTTTTTTTTGTTTTTTTTTTTTTTGTACTTATGCTGTGCTTTTGGCTCAGTTGTTTGCTTAAGTTCCTTGTTTAACATTAAGACAGACTCACAGTAAGCCTTCCTTTAATTGTTTTCATATTTTGCAGGAAATGTGAACCAAAATCCTAGCTGCCAGGCAGTTTCCCAAACAGGTAAAACTGTAGCAAACATCACTGGGCAGGAACATGGATGTGGGCAGTAAGGAGCTGCAGCTAATAAGGCCCAGCAGCTGATAAGTTGTTTGTTTGTTTGTTCCTTTTGTCTTTTTCTTTTAGGGACAGAGCTGAAATCCATCAATGACTTCCTATTTCAGAGCCAGATTGATAATATCAACCTCTTCAAGGTAAGTGCAAGTGTCTTCTGTAGGGTGCAGCTCATGGCTTATTCAAGATTATCAGGAAGCCATTGTGAGAGTTGGAAGTAGGGTCAAGTGCCACATGGCAGTATCTACTTTCTAGCAGCTTGCCCATGCTTCCCTGTTATACAGAACTCTTCTGCTACTATCTGGTCAGCAGTGCATTGAAGCTGGATGGGTGATCTTGGGGCAAAGGAAAACAAGCAATTAAATGCAGATGCAGATGAGTGCACATGCTGTCTGTAGGCAAAGCCAAACTGCAAAGGTTAAGGGTAAAGAAATGCTAGTGCTCTAGTAAGCTAACCCATCCCTCATATCTCCAGACACTGTGCTTTAACCAAAGAGATTCCCACTCTAGAAGCAGTGCCTTAGTAATAAATTGTCTCACAAAGAACTGTTCGTCACTCCCCAAGAGAACAGCAAGCACAGCAAGTGATATCCCTGCTGGGTACAGACTGAGGGCAACAGGATGGGAGGCAGGATGCTGAGCACCAGTTATTTTTGTTGTCTTTTTCCAACAGGTGCAGCGTTACTGTGAGAAGAGCCTCATCAGTAGGAAGGTAATGCTTCTGCAGCTTTATGGTCAACAGCATTCAATGACTTGTTTGGTTTTGATTTGATGGTGGGAAAAATAATGGGATTTTGCTGATAGATTCTTATTGGGCTGGTTTGTGAATGCCTGCCAAGGAACCTTATCTCTAACAGGCCAGAAAACCTGTTTCTGTCTTATCTGTTTCGTGCTGCTGGTTGTCTTAGTCTTTCTGGCTTTTGCTTGGCAGCTTTTTGGATTTGTGGAGCGATACGGCAATCCTGCCCCAGCTGTGAAGACCAACAAGGAGAACCAGAAGCTGGCTGGTTTGCAGAACTTTCTTATGACTCTCCAGCAGGGATCTCATAAGGAAGGTGAGTTCAGACATCCTCCACTTGTGCATTTATGAACAAAGTGAGGACATGGGATGTGCATCTGCATGGGGGAAGAGGAGGGCAGAATCAAAGAGAGCGAGTCTACTGGAGGTGTTCTGCAGAGGTGTTTTTAATATATCTGACTAGATGACTTTGGCAATTATACATTTGATTAGATCTCCTGAGGTCCCTACCAAGCGGAGTGATGTGATTGTGTTTATGCTGAATGCACTTAAGCTTTGCACTTCTGTGACCTGCTGGCTCTGCAACCTGAGCTATCATGGGTAACTGTTTAGTGGTGTCAGCTACAAAACTATATTGCTTTTTTTGTTGTTGTTATTAGCAATGACATGGAACTTGGATATCGTGTTCCATCTGTATTTAACACTCAGAACTGTTTTTAGAAGTGCAGCCTGCATTGCCTGCCTCTCTCTTTCTCTTCTGGCCATTAGGCCCTCTCCAGAGCCCTCCCGTGGAGGCTGACAATGACCAGCTCCGAGCTGCCTCTCCTCTGATGCACATCGAGGGATTTCTCTCAGCCCTCACGAACGCAAATGAAGATGGTCGAGTCATTCTCAATAGGCAAGGTACTGGAATAGGAGAGCTGGTGAGAGGAGATGTGACTTACAAACAGGCCATTTCATTGGCAGGAGGGAGGCAACTGTGAGCCTGCAGTCCTACCAGAATGTACCTGTGCAGCCTTGATTGAGGCTGGCAGGCTCAGGCTGTGCGAGGACTCTCATGATTCCAAAGGAATTCTTAACAAGGGCACTGCGGCTAGGGCTTGCTCTCAAGCAAACTCCCACTTTGGATGTTAGTTTTTATCTTGGCTTTTATCTAGTGTTCTTCTTCGCCATTCCGGGAAGACTAGGAAATGAAAAGTAACTTCGAGGTTGTCATTACCCATTGCTGCTGTGGCAGCATTGAATAGCAGGACCTTGTTTTGAGAGGTGGGGATCTGCCAGATTGTGCAGGGCAAGAGGGAGTATCTCTCGTATCCCTGTTTGTCACGGGTAATTCACAGTGCTGCCTCTCTTTTTTTCCAGGTACTATTGGTCAGAGCAGCCTCAAATTCCTCTTGCTGAATCCAGCTGTCCACTTTGCCAAGGTGGTGAAAGAATGTCGTGCTGTAATCATTGCTGGGGGCACCATGCAGCCGGTGAGGGAACAAGGACATCTCTGGTGCTATCTACAAAGAGGCAGGGAAAGAGCTTAGTGCCACTGGGACATGCTCTTCTCACTGCCTGGGTTGTGTGTGGGAAAAGACTTCTCCTATGCCTCCTCCATTCCTGTTTCTGGGTAGGAATGTCCTGAAATCTTCTCTTTGCTCTTGTGAAGACAAGGGATGGAAGAAAGCTGTGAAGTGCAGGACCTTGGAGAAGTGGCCTTCTTTCGGAAGGCCTTCACTCCAACTTTGAACCCTTCTGTCTGCAACTCAGAGAGATGATATAGCTGTAGTCCACAATGTGGACTGTACAGTGCTTGGGAGTCCTGGTAGTGGACTTCTGGGCCTGGGGAGGTCTGAAATTGGAGCATGATGGGTGAAGAGAGGAGGGGTTCTACACAGGAACCTTGACCCACACAGGAGGGTCAGAGCAAGACTCAGGAGCATGGGCGCTAAAAGGCACTTTGCCTGCATTTCATGCTGCCTGTTCTGCTTGGGCCAGCTTGAGGTTCTGCTCCTGAGCACTTGGCTTAGCCTGAGCAGAAGACAGCAAGGCAGGGGCACAGAAGGTCCCACAAGCCTGGGAGCAGAGTATGGCTGGTGGCTGAGCATTCTCATGCCCTCGGTTTTCACATCATGGAGAAAGCTCATCTCCTTTCCTTGCTGGCAGCCCCCCTTGCTGAGCTCATCAGCTCTCTGAACGCTGATGCTCAAGGAGCAACACCAGGGCTGTTGCTGCAGTGCCCCTTGGGACTTCACCTCTCTCTGGCTTGTGGTCTGCAGGTGGCTGATTTCCGGGAGCAGCTGCTGTCCTGTGCTGGTGTGGATCCTGCACGTATCATGGAGTTCTCCTGCGGTAAGTGTGCTGGGGGAAAAGGGAGGGGTCATAATCTGTGTTGGACTATCTGCCATAGGTGCTGTTTTGTCAGCGCTGTAAGCAACGTGGTATCTATTCTAGAAATTATGGCAACAGACCCTAGGGGTGCTTGTTTCTCCCACTGAACTCCTCAGTGCTCTTGGCTGGCAGCAGTAGGTAGCACCTCACCTTCCCAGGGGCTTGAGGAGCAGAGGCCAGAGTAGCTGAGTACCTCATCAGACAAACACATGCCTGTGTCACTGCACGCAGATGATGCTGTTCAGCTAGCAGTGTTGATGCACAGGGCAGCCATGTTGACTCTCACTACTTTTTTTTTTGTCTCCAGGACACGTGATCCCTCCAGAAAATATTTTACCCATAGTCCTCTGCAGTGGTCCTTCCAACCAGCAGCTGGAGTTCACCTACCAGACAAGAGACCTGCCCCAGATGGTCAGTCTTCCTTTGTTCCCTTCTGAAGTGTCTCTTTTTTTTTTTTTTGGTTCACTTGCCTATGTTTCATAGTACTTTCCGAAAAGTGTGATGATCAAAGGCTATGGGAGGGACAATACATGGGATTTGGGGCTGGTGTGTTGCCAGGTAATTGGGAAAGAGGAGCGTGGTGTTGAGCTGCCTGCTCAGAAGAACCTCTTGGAGGGCAAGGAAGACTAGCAGCTGTTTGGCTGTACTGAGATCCTGCATTTGTGTGCTGGACACCAGAAAGAGATCTGACTACTTCCCAGACTGGAAGACTCTGTCGGTGGAGCAGGGCAGCCCTGCAGAATGCAGCCCTAACCACAGGGATGGTATCAGATATTTCTGCACTTCTCCCTTCCTTTGCTCAGTCGGCACCCAGCACAAGGTGCTGGGTCTGCTCTGAATCCCACCAGATGTGCTAGCTAGCTCTCCACACCTCTTCTAGTATGAGACGTTTCCATCCACTGGGACAACAGACACAGACCCTCTTGAGTGACCACTGCTCCACACTGGCAATGGAAACTGAATTAGGAGGAGAAGCCAAGCAGTGAACAGCTTTTTGGCAATTCCCAGCTCCCTTAGCAGCACTCAGGCCTCTTGTATTTCCCACGTCTTTCCTCCACCGATGCATGTCATAGGGGAGGTGTGATCCTGGGATCGTGCGCAAAATTGGAGCAGCATTAGCTGGAGCTCCTGTCAGCTGCAATATGCTCTTGTCTCTCTCTTGCAGATGGATGAGACAGGACGAATCCTCTGCAACCTGTGCAACGTGGTCCCAGGGGGTGTGGTGTGCTTCTTCCCCTCCTATGACTATGAGAAGCAGGTGTATGCGCACTGGGAGAAAACAGGGCTGCTCACCCGCCTGGCAACTAAGAAGAAGGTAATTGTGCAGCCAGGGGCAGTTGGTACTGCAAATAGGAGCTTCAAAAGTCAAACAATTATCTATGCATTACAGGCCTCTCCCTGAGTTGTTCTCATACTCTGCACAGCAGAGCAGAACGGATGTTTATCTAGCCAATCCCTCCAGTAATGAATAAATGATACTTCCCGGGCGGCTGATCACAGAGCTGGGATCTAAATTAGATTAAATGCAGCTATAGATTCTTTAAGCACGCAGTCGGTAGTGGCCATGGGGGGAGACAGTCTTCACTTTCTGTAGTCATTGAGCTTGTTCCCTTGCAGCTGGGGAGCTGTTTGAGTTGAGCTGCTACGGGGAATTGGTTTTTCCCAGGCTCAGCTGTTTGTCCCTTGACCACAGACCAGCATGGCCAAGGGGCAGACAGAACTGTACTAGCCTGCAATTCATAGGATAAATGCTGTTAGTATTTTTCTGGTAGAAGTGTAGAGCTGAGAACTGAAAGACGAGCATTTGGAAGAGCAATGAGAAACACTGAATAGGGAGATCACTGCAGATATGAAATCTGTACAAGTACTGTTCCAGTTACTTGAAGGTTGGGTACTGCTGAAGCTCAGGCAGTCTGACTGTCCTAGGGGGAGAGCAGGGACTTCGGTGATGTGCCAGGAAAAAAGAAAAGAGAAAATGACAGATACCTTGTTATGTGATTTCTCTTTCATCAAAAGCTAATAACGTGCTAGCAGAGCACAGTATTTCACAGCCCTGGTGCAGGCATTCTGGCATGTGGATCTGCTCGTAGGTTTTTGTGGTGGAAACACACGCTTCATCTTCTCCACGTGTTTGCACAGCTGTTATTCAAAATGTTTTTCAGGTGTGTTCTGTGGGAGTCCTTATGGTTTGCCTGGCATCTCCAAGGGCTCACACTGCAGTCATGCAGCTTGCTCTGCCTTTCAGCTGATCTGTTCTTGTTTGGCCTTTGCAGTCTCCAGCAAATTGGATATGCGTTAGCAAAGCAATTTGGTAGCAGTGCAGAGAGTGTGACTTTCAGCTGCCTACACACAAGATCATATCATAGAAGAGGAAGGTTAAAGTCTTTCCTGAGGTGGCTGTGGTGAGATCACACTGAGATTCTATTTAAATTACAGAGGAAAAATTAATTTAAGTCAGAGGATTAAATAGCTACTGTTTAATGAATTAAATAGATTTAGCTTACATTTGTAATTGCCAGTTACTTTTCTGCTGAAAGACTGCCTCTGGCTGGTAAAATGCTCACAGCACTCCTTGCTAACCAAAAGAAAATGCATCCTGCAGGTTCTTTACTGTCGCAGAAAAGATAGATGTTGCATTTCTTGTTTATCAGAACAGTAAGTTGTGATTTAAGCCAAGGTGCAGCACCTATTGAGATCCAGGCTCAATTAATTGCAAGGGCTTTCAGTAACTTGTTAGTTTATAATTCCATTAGGGATGCTGGGGTAACACAAAAAAAATATTACTCTGTGCATAGAAAACTAATATATTTCCTGGGCAAAGGAACCATTACATGGAATTAACTTGCGATTCAAATTAATTGGCCCAATCACTGTCCTCCAAGACCTTGCAGCTGAGGATCTCTCCAGCCTGCTGCACCTCTATCTGGAAGAAGGGCATGTGCTTTCCAGCCTTTCATCTCTTGGATGACTTCTGACTTCTTGCACCATTAGACAAAGCTGCCTAAGCTGGAAGGGAATGTTGGAGGGCAGGGGAAGCCGCTGCTCCCTTCAGAGCCCAGCTGAGAAGTGCTGTAGTGAACATGCCCTGCTTTTCCAGGGGTAGAAGGAAAAGGTGCTGGTTAAGTGGTTTTCTTACGGTTAACTTGGCCTTTCCTGGTCTTAGTTCCATGTGCTATTTAATGGCATGTGAATAAAATGATCTGTTTTGTCGTTGCTTCCTGATGCTGCAACTGATGCACTGTGTGACAGATCTTTCAGGAGCCTAAGAAAGCCAACCAGGTGGAGCAGGTGCTGGTGGAGTATGCCAAGTGCATAAAGGTGAGTGGAGCTGGCAGGGTGGTGGGAGTGAATCATCTTGTCTGCAGATGGGAGTACTGGTAAAGAGAGCATTGCAGCTGTTAGCTGGGAAAGAGGGCTCTAATCCAGGTGTGCTTTTCTGAAGCACAGAAATCTTCCCTGCTCTGGTTTAAGTTGTTGGTCCCTCTCTCACAGCGGTGCAGCCAGGCTGGAGGCCAGATGACGGGGGCCCTGCTGCTTTCTGTAGTTGGAGGCAAAATGAGTGAAGGAATCAATTTCTCGGATGACCTGGGAAGGTAAGGTGGCTGCTCCTTTTGAGGTGAGCACTTGGCTTGGAGTGCAGTGACTCCGAGCAGGATGGACACATTGGTACTTGCATAGATAGAAAGTCTGAGGATCAGGTGGCTTGGGCTGATGCTCGAGCCCAGTCTGCAGGTAATGTAAAACTCACTTGTCCAGTGTACTTTTCATGTGAGTAATGCAGTTAGGCTTGCTGTGCTAGATAATTCCTTGTTCTGGCACCCTGAATCCCTCTGCAGCTTCCAGTTCAGAGTGTGCTTGTCAGACTAGTGTGTTTTACTGCCGCCTTTGGTCTTCAAGGCTGGCTGTCTTTCAGGGGTACAGTGACCTCTAATTTATCAGTCTGTTGGCAAAGTGCTTTAGGATGAGACATAAAGAATAATGCGGTCCTCCCTCACCCCTTGCAGGTGTGTGATTATGGTGGGAATGCCTTACCCCAACATTAAATCTCCAGAGCTTCAAGAGAAAATGACTTGGCTCGATAAAACAATGGTAACAGACACACCTCTGCTTTTTTTACCTCTGATTTTTACTACTAACTTCCCTCCAGGCACCCGAGTTCCACTGTTGCCTTCAAAGACTCCTTTTTCCTTTGAGCTTTTCCGTGTTTCTCAGACTGTGGTAATGGGAGCACAGCCACCCCCATACTGCATTTGTACAGTAAGACCTATGCACAGGGGTCAGTGGAGAGAAGCAACACCAGGGCTCCCTGGGAAGTGAGTTCCAAGGGGAACCAAGTCCCTTCACAGCAGAGGAGGTGTCAAGGTGGTAGAAGGTGTATGCCAGGCTCACTTCTCTTGGTGTACTTGTTCTTACTGCCCACTGGAGACGCTGTTCCTGAGCAGCAAATGACAAGTGCTCTGCTTTCAAAGGGGCCTTAGGCTGGCTCTCTGTGACTGTTCAAAATAATTTTCTAAAACTGCAGCTTTTCTTCTGTCTGTCCTTGCACTCAGCTTGGGATCTGTGTGGATACCCACTCATTCTGCCAGGATAAAAGTAGTTGTTTACCTCACTTCTTCATTAAGACTCTCCCTAATTTGATTAACATCAGCCTCGTGTTTACTCTGACCTATTTCTCCTTTCTAGCCAAGAGCTGCTAGCCAGGCACCTAGCAGAGTGCTGATTGAAAACCTGTGCATGAAGGCAGTAAACCAGTCAATAGGTAATTCATCCTTCCTTGAGCAGGCGGGGGGGGATACAAAATGTGACTGCATCAAAGCAGGGTGGGAAAAAGAAAGCAGAACCAATCATTCTGACCACAGATGATGCATATGAGCTTACTTGTCTGGGAACAAACAACTCAGTAATGCAGTTTAACACAGCTGCACACTCTGTACAGGAAGAGCCATTCGCCACCAGAAGGACTTTGCAAGCATCCTGCTCCTGGACCACAGGTACTCACGCCCTGCTATCCTTAACAAGCTGCCACAGTGGATCAGGGAGAGAACCCAGGTCAAGCCTGCCTTTGGATCAGCTTTTGCAGAACTAAGAAAGGTCAGAACTTTTTTCTCACATACTGCTGCAGAAATTGTTTCCCACTGTATTCACTTGTACTTTCTTCAAACCTTCAGTTTGGTGCTTTAGTGTTAGTTATCTGGTTTCATGTGTTCCTAGTTTCACCGAGGGAAATCAGACTGATGCAGACCAGAGAAGCGGGCTGTAGATCAACTCTGTGATCCACACCTTTTGAAGAACACCCAAAGCAACGCAGGTTCCTGTTTTTCTGTTCCAAGTGGTTTGCTAATCTCCTCTCTGCCCCCATTGTTTGTTGTTCAGTATGAGCACTTGGCCTTCACCACCACAGCCAGGAGGGAAACCAGTTGAAGGACCGACACTAGTGAAGGTAGCAGAAGGCTTCTCTTTGTTTACAGCTGTTAAGGTTTTATTTAAGTCTATTAAATATTTTCAACCCAGACACGTAAGTGTGAGGATCATTATTATTTTGTTTGAACACACTGGCTTTGCCACATCAATGGTTGACTTTAGGGGGTCTGACGACCGAAGTTTACAATTCTTGTGGAATTTTTAGCTGTTACCTTAAAGGTAACAGGCCATTAGTTTGTACTGTGTTGGAATTATACACTGAGGCAGGTAAGATGTGGGTTAGTTTTTTAATCTCCTTTCTACCTTGCTTCAAGCTGGTACCAGATTGAAGGACTGAGTCATTCTTTCAAGGGGAATAATGATACGGCCATAACACAGCACACCACTTCTCCTTTGAACATGTTTAATCATAGGATCACTCTGTGCTTTTAACTGCATACAGTCTTTTTTTGAACTCACAGTAACTTTCTGTGGAAAACGGTCAAACTTTTTTGGTGCAGTTTCCTAGAGGTTCTTTCCTGTGTTCTGGGCTGGAGGGTAATTGACAGCAGCAATGGCTGTATAATCCTAAGGCTGTGTAATCCCACAGCCATTCTAAGCTCTTTCTGTCATCACAAACAAGGCTGGTCAAGAAGGTTGTTTTGCCTCCTTGCCGGTTTCAGCTGGTAGCTGGATGCTACCTCTTAAGGCTCTTCTCGGTGAAGAAAGCATTTAAATTTAGACATGGAGCTGGTACCTGCTCCCCTCTGTGTTAATTGGCCAAAGAACAAAAGGGAAAACACAGCTGCTTCTGACAAACTTCTGCTCTGAGTCCCCTGCCCCTTCTGTGAGCACAGAACTCCCACTCTGGCTAAGCTCTGCCTGGAACTCACTGAAATCAGCAGCTGGAGTAGGGGCCTTGTAGACAGCTGGTGCCCTCCTGCCCTGGGGTTGTTGTTGTTGGTGTAAGGTTAGACCCAGCCTGAGCTGAGAGTAGACAGATGGGCTTTTCCCTTAAGCTACCCTTTATTGAGCACGTTTCCCTCCTTTACCAGAGTGAAGGCTACAAGGACCTCCTTCCTTGAGCTTTATTGCAGTTTTTCAGAAAGCAACAGCCAAAGAATTGCCATAAGGCAGGGACAGAAAGAAACCATCAAGTACAGAGGCACCAGTAATTAGACTTTTCCGTGAAGGGTCAGACAGACTCTCTCTTCCACTTTCATTCACTCACCACTATCCAGCCTCATCTTCAAGGACTCAGAACTTGCAACATCTAAACAAACATGAGCTTCAGCAAGCACACAGCAGAGACAAATGAGGCAAGGACTGTTTGCCTGCCAGAAATGCTCCTGCAGTCATCACCAGTCACATTAGGCAAGACCAAGGGCCCTTTAAATCAGGAACAATACTTGTTCTGAACCTCTGAGTGCAAGCTGCCCTACTGCCCTCCAGCTAAGGCAGGATTTATTGATTCATTGTGAGCTGCAGCAGGATTTGAGCTGGATTGTAGTATTTGGGGTGGAGACCAGCAGACAGCAGAAGAAAATCCCTCATTGGTAACAATTTGGTTGTGGTTAGTTCCTGCTGCTCCTCTTCCAGAAGAAATGACAGGGTGCCCTCCCATGCCAGAGCCCACCTTCTGTAGATCCTTCCAGACTGGTGACTCAAAGGTGCGTAGTTCGAGTCCTGGGATTCATGCTGATGCACAACTGCTACCATCTAAGACTCCCAGTCATCCTCATCCTCTTCACCCGGGGGCTGCTGTGGGGGTGGGAGAGGTGGTATCGAGTCTGATATACGAGCAAAGGCACCAGCAGGACTGCCAGGAGCATCGGGGTTTCCTGAGGCTCCCGGCCCTTTCCCTGAAATACCTGGTAGGGAAGGAAAAGCTCCAGTGAGTGGCACCTGGGGCCTAGAGAACACACAAGCTTAGTGAAGGTGAGATGAAACACATGGCTTGTGGCACTGTGCCTTAAGCAGCCAGCTGACCCAAATCAAGTAGAACTGCAGGTGTGCTGAAACAGCACCACAGCTCTCTGAAAGGGCTTGTTTCAGCAAAGCTCCGCCTGAGCAGGTCCATGCCCTCCCCTGCCCTGTGTGGGCAACACAGATGCTCTGAGAGGGAGCAAGGGGACCGGCTCCCCTGGCACTGATGAAATTCTAGTGAATACTGCTGTCTCACCCTCACCCTGCAGAGCCCCTCACTGGCAGTTTTCAGAGCCCATCTGCCTTGGGCACACAATCTCCCTCTGGTGTCTCCAGTTGATCGTTAAATGGGAGGTTCCTCAGATATCCCCATGTAAATGCACTCCCAGCCATGCTGTGGCACACAGACCTACGAAGGAATCTGCCCCTGGTTCTAGGGCTGTGGCTGATAACTGAGGTGCCTGCAAAAGCTCTACCTCCTTCCTAGAGGGACGGAGCAGCCCACCCTGTGTGACAGTACCTTTGCGCCTCAGCACCAGCTTGTTGAAGAGGTCTGACATCAGATCTCCACCTTGTCCTGTAGCTCTCACTGAAACAGAGCAAAACCCCAAGTGTCACATGAGAAGGAAGAGTCAGTCTGAGCCTAGCAGTAAGGTAAACACATTTTCTTGGAATAGTCTTTTCAGAATAAGGAAAAATAATATAATCTTCAGCCTCATATCACATCCATATCCTCCCCTCCCAATACAGCCCAGTTTCACATCAGGAAGCCAGGCACTGTGGGGTAACAACATTCTCTGGGGCAATTTAAGTGTGGAATTGCTCCAGAAACAAGAGGCCTTGGGCATCTGCAGTCCCATTCTGCCAAATCAACTGTTTCAATACCCTCAGCAGCCACCCAAACCAACATGCTCAAACCAGCTCAACTCTGTGCCTCTCTTGGCTCCAGGGATTCCTTTGACTGTCCCTCATGTAGTACCTGTAAACTTCTAAGCATGTCCTAAGACAGAGTGGGTGTCCACCAAGAACATTTATGCTTGCCTGGCAGATGTAGTGTACTGAGTCCACAGAGGACTGTCTAAATGGAAATACTGAGACCTTGTGCCAACCTGTAAGGAGAGAACATCTCTCTGCTCTGTATAGTCCTCGTGCTCCTGGATGGCAGCCTGCCTCCAGACCTACATCTCAGCCTGGGGCAGAGAGAAAGGAAGACCAGATTTGTGTAAGAGCCTCAGCACCTTGTTCTTGTTCCTTTTGCTTCTTCTTCTCCAGCTTCCTCTCTTTGACGCTGCGGAGGTTGGCCTTCCCAATGCCCCCAGCCTGGCGAATGGATTCCAGGAGACTGGCACGCCCAGTTGAGGGGTTCACCACCTCCTTTGGGGCTCCCTGGACTGAAGCTGCAGGGAAAGGAAGAACATGCATCAGCCCCAAGCCCACCTGAATCCCCACAGAAAGTGCTGCTAATGTCCTGCCATCTTCTTTTTGGGACTGACACAGACACTTTCAATCACAGGCTCACACTGAGCTCAGCCAGCAAGAGGCCTGCCAAGATGAAACTGAAGGCCTGCAGTCCCACAGGCAAGCAGGAGCAGCTTCCCTCTCCTGCCAAGAGGCTGTTCTAGAAGTGCACTGAGGGCATGAGCTGAATTAGATTCTGCTGGTGGAGGTGTACAGCTCTTACCTGCAGGCTTGCTGCTGTCCTCACTTGCTGTCCGGGCTGGTTCAGAGGGGGCTGTAGGTTGTGGCAGGGGTGGTGGGGGAGGCACAATAGTTGGTGTAACAGGAGGAGGTGGGGGAGGAGGTGGTGGGGGAGGTGGCAAGAGCCCAGGATCCTGAAGGTCTGAAAGATGAAAGAAGTTGCATCTGAACAGTCTCAGAAGACATCAGTCGCAGAGCTTCAGCTGAGAGCGTTCCATGCCTCAGCAGCAACTGATAGAAGACCCTCAGCATGCACCATGCATCACAGCGCTTTCACCCTGTGCATCATCCCTTACAGCATATACAACCAAGGCAAGGGTTGAGATTCACTGTGTTCCCCAGCTCCATTCCACTGGGCCTGTCCAGCTCACCCAAGAGATTCCTTGCTGACCTGAGGCCAGTCCTTCACTGCACACTGCTCTTTTGCCCCTGCAGTCACCTGTGGTGAGTCTGCTCAGAGTCTGGCCAGCACTTGAGCAGGCTGCAGCTTTGACTCAGATCCAAATGCACCCTTCTGACCTCTCCACTAAGGGAGTTACCACCTTCTCTCCACTTTCTTTCAGTGAACCCCTCTCCACTTCATCCTTCACAGGGTCCTGGTAATGGTGATTGGAAATACCTGCTTGTGAAGGCTCCACTGACTCAGTGCTGAAAGTGGGTAGCTCTGGAATAGCACTGCTTGGAGCGGATGGTGCGATGCCAGGGCCCAGGTCAGCACTGTACATGAGATCTGCAGCAATACCAGGCAGGTCTGGCAGGTAGGATGGCACATCAATCTCAGGGACCTGGCCCAGATCTGGCACGTAGAAGTAATTTTCAGCTACCTAAAAGAAACACAAAATAAAAAGACAGTGCAATGAAGGCACTCCTTTTCCTTGCAGCAAGCAGGGGCACTGCAGAGAACAGCCTGGGTGGCAGTCAAGGCTGGGCCTTGCTACAGTGGCTGGCCCTCAGCTGTCCATACAAGTCTGTGCTCTTGTTTGCTAAACACAATGCTTTCTCCTCCAGTCTGACCTGACAAGCTCCTAGCCTCCTTTCTTCAGCCTCAAACCACACATTCAACCATACACCAATAAAGCTCTAGGTACAGCTTTACAGGGTGTTTGTTACAAGGTCGGTCATGCAGAGGCAGCATAGACTGGTGTCCTGCCTGCCTCATATCCACACCAAGCACCACACCCCTTTGTTCAGGCTGGTTGGCCTTTCCATTTTCATTAGCAAGTGGCCCTGTCCAGCAGGAACAATGGGGCACGAGCCTTCCCCCAGGCACCTTCCAGCCATGGCACCTCACACCTACTCCTCTACAGAAGTTAGCACAAGGGAGATAGATGATCAAGTGATGGAGTCTCCAAACTCCTCTATAACTTTGAGGTCTAGCAGCAAGGTGAATCATGTTACATGACACTTCTCACACCATCCAGCAAATGACTGAGAAGAGAGACACCTGCCAAGTTTGAGGGCTTCATCTCATCCATTAAGCCCAAATCAGGACTGCAGGCATGAAAATAGGCAAGGTCTTTCTGATAAGCAGGTTACCTTGCAGCCATGTGGGGGCATTTCTCTACTGTTCTCCACCCTACAAAAGCTTTCTACTCCTCTCAGAAAGCTAGGTCCATACTCTTGACTGGGAAGCAACTGCATCCCCTCAGCTACATCTCACCTGCCGGTCCAGCTGTCCCCTTTCGGTGATGGAGAGAGGAGCATCAAAGAGCTTCTCTTCTGTCTCTGTTTCCAGAGCCACATGGGTCTTGGTCACTGCTCCAGCTAATGGATCCAAGAAAACATACTTCTTGTATCTAGGGCAGAAGGCAAGCACTTCAGCGAGGCCACCTCAACAGTGTTAGTCAAGAAGGACTAGAAGGAGAGCTCCCAACTTGCTCAAGCAGGTGGAACATGTTGGGCTCTCCCTCAATCTCCTTTTAGCCCTTTTTAGCCTCACTCCTCCACAACCAGGAGCCCAGTTGTTCTCCACCCTTCCAGCACATGCATTCATCCTGCAGCAAAGCCCTACCACACTGCCCACCATTACCTAGCTCACCTCCCACTTTCTGGCCTGAGACTGCCTCAAAACCTTCACCAAGACAACAGTCTCTCCAGGTGCCTTATTAATAAAGGGAAAGGAGGAAAGAAGAAGAGGGGAAATAATCAGTAGCTTGTGAAGAAAGAAGAGGTCCAGCAGCTGAAAGCTCAACTAGGACTTAAAGAAGATCTTCAGTGTAGGCAGAAGGAAGAACCATGAGGCAAAGTCTGATGGGAAAGGGAAGTGCGGTGCAGTGTGTGTGGCAATGGAGATATTAAAGCAGTGACAGTGGTTAAGTTTTGCTGTGAGGAGCCATCAGGAGAAAGAGCAGTACCTAAGCAGGCAAGTGGGGCAGAGGACAAGTGACAGCAGCTCTCAAGGCTGGTGAGAACTTGCAGGAGGAAGACAGAAAAAAATAAGGAAGTGTTAAGCTGAGTTGAAAGCAGGTGAATGAAGGATTCCACCCATAGGTCAGAGTGAGAAAGGGTTGCTAGCTGAGAGCTACCAAAACCTGTCCCATCAGGAGTCTACTAAGCAAGATCCTGAGGAAAGCAAGCAGCACAGCTGCCCTGGGGCAGGGATAACTCCTCTGAGAACAAGCAGAGACAGGTGGCCAGCACAGTCCTGAGCCAACTCACAGGTTCTCCGTGGTGTTGAAAAGCAGCAGGGAGCTGAGAGAGCTGATGTTCCTTGGGAGGCTGCCAAGACCTTCTTCTGCATCATCTTCCTGGTGAATTTTGGTGTTCACACACACTGGGAAGTACTTGAGCTTCTCCTGCAAGAAGACAGATAATGGGTAGCAAAACACTGAAAAAAAAAAAAAAAGCCAATGGGACAGCTCTCCCCAGCCACCAAAACCCACAGTACTGGTTCCACTACCAAGTCTGGGAATCCTACTTCTCCCTCTCTACCTCCGTTTGAGAAAGAAAGCACGTGGACAACACTGCAACCCCAGGTGATGAATCTCATCCGTTCAGGCCCATGGAATATGCTTTTGGTGCTACAGATGGGTTATGCTGTTGGTGTTTCAATGGCAAGAATCCATCAAAACATAACAGCCATTTAGGTTCTTATAACCAGCAGGAGGGATTGAGCATCTCTATCTGAACTAAGCATTTGCTATAGTGTCTCCAGCTGGGAGATACGACACATTTTCATGCAAGCAGAGCCCCCAAACATCTCTGTTACCTCCCCTCTTCTGCCTTCACCTGATGTTTTAGGAGAGGTGATCCCACTGGTGGGGTATGCAGAGAAGGCAAAAGAAGGTTAGGGAAAAATTGCATGCCTTCACTAGGCAAGAGATCAGGCAGAAGGGAGTATGCAGGGTGGAACGTGCCAGATGGTTTTGCAAAGCCTGAGGGATTTGCAGGAGTTTTCAACTCTAATGAACTGAAATCTCCTTTCTCTTGGTTCTAAAACTTCATGCATAATATATAGAACTCCCTTTAGAAAAGAACTTATTGCATCTGAACTGCTTGACTTTTATAGAGCACAGGAATTGCTATCCCAGATCAGACCAGTGTTTCAGCTAGCATGACAGCATCCGCTGCCAGATGCTCTGGGGGGATGATGTTCAGTGACCACAACACACTGCTGCATGCACAGCACTACAGAGAGGAAAGGAATTTGTCCCTGAACCCAGAGAAAGCCTATGAAACAGCAAACTCTCATCCTAGACCTCTCCCCACATCCCTCCTCAGCACCTTCACAACTCTTTCTTCAGTCAAACTGGGACAAGCAGCAGCCTCACAGCTCCATGCTGATACAGCTCCCAATGCTGCCCGCAGCCTTCTACTGCCTCGCTACTTCCAGCATCACCAGATGTACTTTGTACTTGCAGTGGGGAATTGGAGACCATTGCTGGTTCAATTTTAAGACCGCAGCTCAGCAACATAAGCAGTTTCCACTGATGGAAATTTCAGGTTTGAATTGGGTAGTCAGAAATCCCGGGAAATGGCTTAGTCACAGCTCAGCAAATCCACTACAAGTCTGTATGGTGCTCCGAGTCTACAAACGCTGTGGGAAAAGACTGTGAGGTTTTGATTTTTGTTTCCTCCAAATAACAGATTCCAACTTGTGAAAAATACGCTGAAATAAACACCTTGCATTTCTGCAGCAGCAAATAGGCAAAAATACATGAGTAAATTGTTATTTAGAGACTCTAGAATCAGAGATTCAGAAATAAAGGTTCTTTTTGATCATTAATATTCATTTTGCAGCGTTTAATTTTTTAAGCATGAGGGAGTACTGATGTTTCTGCAGACTGTTCACACACACTTAGCCCTCGAGTCAAATATATATTTCTTTACTTCTCTCTTTGTGGATTCCAATTAGCATTGGAAGGCTGTGCGTCACTTTAAGGGTGGAGCAAGAAACCAACCATTACCTACGTTTACTTATAAGTCTAATCTAAAGGTAGTTACAAAAGCACCAAGCGTACTACTCTGAAATGTAAATCCTTTTAATTTAAATGCCACCAAAGCGCAAGCCTTAAAATATCTAGATCTGTTTTGATATTTAGAATAGGTACCTGTCATTAATAATATCCTGCAACTGTGAACTCTGCAAGTTGATGCATCATTTAAGAGTGAGTTTTCTTAAAGTGACAGGAAGACCAAAAGCCAAAGGTTCAGCAGCCTCAATGTACTGAAGTCGTGGAGTGTGCTTGAATGCTTCAACACCTGAACATGGTGATTTGGCACCCAGCAGGATCGTCTATGATGCACTTCCAGCCACTTTTCTCCCTAAGAGCCTATGATTAACAATATATAAGTCACACTAGTTCTTAGGTTTAATTAACACGCAACCTTACGATGGGAATTGGAGTGATGCATCTGAAACCCCCTTCTCTCTCATGCTAATGGAGGCTAACTGGAAATGCAGTTAAAGGTTAGAAAGTGCCTGCCTGCACCTATGGTGAACTCTGCAGAGCTCACTGGGCAGCTCAGGTTACTGATACTGCTGAAGTCTAATGAGGAATCTTCAAAAACTTGCAACTGTCAGTCGGACCTCTCCCCAGTCCCAGATGGACCATGTTTCCCACAGTCCAGAGGAAAACCCTGTCTTCCAGCCTCTGGAAGGGTACCTCAACACTCAGACACATCCCACCCACAAACACAGTGCCCAGCACCTCAAAAGCCCTAAAAGCCTGCAGCTAGATCACATTTAACAGTGCCTAGCTGCTAACGCAGCCATGTGCAAAGCAAGTGAGTCAGGCTTAACACAAGGACCCCATCTCCAATGTTCTTATCTGTCAGCACTTATGCTACCAGCCTATGCCTCTGTCCTCTCACCAGCTGAGTCTTCATTTGCTTGTGGAATGGAGGGCAAAAGAGAATTTCCCAGAAGGGAAGCATTTTTAAAATAAAATTGCAGAACCACATACAGTTCTAACTCAAATGCTTTTGCCCCAGAGCACAAACCCTAAGCACTCAGCACAGGCTGGCATTACTTACCCTCAAAATGACAGGATCAGAGCTTGCTTTCCTGGCAGGGTGTGTGTGTGCGTGTGTGTGTGTGAGTGAAGTTAGCAAAGGCTACTGTGACTGCTCCCAGCAAAAAGGCCCTCATTAGAAGTGAAAACAGGCAGTGAGCCTCTGCTGAAAGCCCTGAATAATTGAGGAGGGTATAAATGCAAACATTAGACTTCTCTCTATCACATTTCATTACTGCAAGGCACATCATGCTCATGCTCAGCTGTGGATAAGAAGGCCCTGTCACCCTGGACAGTGTTTGGACCACACTGAGCCCCACTGCACAGCAGCTGCCACTCCTGCAGGTCCTTCTATCTTTCATAAGCCAGTTGTCAGCACAGCACTGTCCTACCCCACAAAAGAGTTGTGGGTGACAAAGCCACAGGCCCTCCCAAAAAAGAAATAGTCCAAAGGGAGAACTGAGTCACGGGAGGAGGGAAGAAGCACAAACATACACTGGAGTCTGCAAAAGTCCCTGTGGTGATGGCAGCCTTGATCATGGAGAGCAGAACTCTGCAATGGAACAGGGATCTCCTGGGCGAGGGGAAGGGTGGCACTGCAGGTGAGTGACATAGGCTGCAAAGAAGAGCATGCCTCTGCATGGTAAGCTCTCTTACCAGCAGGCAAGTCGAATGGGCATGCCATTTGCTCTTAGTGGAGCCTCTACCAGTTGATTCTCTTTTCAGTCACCTCCCTGTGTGAGGGGCTGTATATCAGCACCCTTCCCTTGCCAATGCCTGTGTACCTCTGCTCCCTGCAGGCTGTCTGATGGGATGGGGCCATCAGACAGCCAGCACAACAGAAGTTGGATTGCCCCAGCTGGCCGACAACAGGTCCCATGCAGCTGTGCCCTGGCCTACTGCCAGGTCTTGAAGGATGCACAAACCCTGCTCAAGTGTGCCAGCTGTCCATTTGGCCAGCAACTCCACTCCCGATCTGGCTGAAATATTCATAACTACCTCACTGTACAGAGACCTCAACTCCATTAAAACTCAGGAAGGTTTAGTGTGATAAAACATTCAGTGGCAGGTTTATTTTTGGGCCACGGCATACAAGGATGTGGAAGCAAGTCTCTTAGGGGGAAGAGAGCAAGGAAGCTGAGTTTGAACCCTGATGACAGTTTGAACCCTGACCTGCCAGGAAGAGCACATCTGCTACTCCTGGCACAGCACACATGCAGTAACCTTTACAGATACCAACTTGTTCTCTCTTCTTTCCAATCCAGTTTGACCCAAACTGTCGGGGTGTTCCTTTGTATCAAACCTATCACTTCTCAGACCACCCTAAGAAGCATCTCCCCCTCACTCAGTACACAAACAAGAAAGGAACGCCACCTCCTTCAACACTACCTGCTGCAGACAACAGCTGTTCAGCTCCCCACCCATACCTAAAACTCTGGTCTACTTCATCAAGGAGACTTCTCTTTGCTTGTTCATCTCACAGTCTTTTCTCCTCCTCCTTACCTGCAAGGATTTTTCATCCAGCATTCTGTGCTTGCTCTGGATCTTGTGTCTTGGCCATTTCTGTTTAGCTGGGTCTTCTGCACCAGCAAAAATCGAACAGTACTCCTGCAGCCGTTCAGGGGCAGGATACTTGGCACTGGAAAATACCTGAGGAGAGACAAGGAGGTATTTCAAAATCCCAGCAACTAAGCAATCTTCTGCTGCAGAAACACGTGGAGTAGATTAAGGCACGTGATCTGTGCTGCCCGTGGGAATGGAGAGCCTTGGAGTTAACAGGCTCTTAAGGGCTATTTCTGCAGAAACCATCATGAGGGCCATCAATTTTGAAAGTTGAAGTGCCAAAAATTCTCTTTCTCTGCAAGTAACAGGAGGCAGAAAGGCTTCCAAAGTGCAGGAAGGGAACTAGAAACACTGTATTAAATACAGCAGGAATGGTAAAAGGAAGACTTCCACCAGTTTTACACAGCTCACACAGATAAACATGCACTGGAGGGGGAGGCTCTCTATCAGCAGCTTCTATTCAATGCAAGATTGTAAGAACACAAAATGAGAGGGTGTTGGGCATAGCAAAGCACAAAGCTGTTTTATTCCAAAGGTAGTAGTTGAGGCAACAACTTATATCGGCCTTGTATGGCCAGGAGCTGGGTAGCCCGTGGGTTTAAGAATCATTAACTGGCCCTGTCAGAAGGGGGACTCTCATCACAACTCCTGCTCAGCAGCAAGGCACAGAGAAGTGGATGGGCAGCATGTTTTTCTGCAGAGCTTGCTTCAGGGATAAAGATAGAAGGTGGAAAGAAGGAGAGAGGCCATACAGCCTTCATTGGAGTCACTACCTTAATAGCCTTCTTGCTGCCCTTGATCTTCTCAATCTTTGCTTGTGCGAGCGTGACTCTCTCACTGATTGCCTGAAGCTGTGCCCGGCTGGTTTCCACCCGCTGAGAGATCCTAAGGAACAAGGACATTGCTTAAGGATAAGAATCTAAAGCCAGAGAATTTTTGGCAAGAGCCAGTCACCACACCAAGAGAAAGGATGTGAATCTCAGTGGTCTGGATTGTTTCACAAGGCAAGATAGTACAGGGTCAGATACTTTTGTCTTGGTCCCGTTAAGAGTTTCTCACGTGCTCCAACATGAAACAAGACAAGTCTGTGATTTTCTGTGCGACATTCTCCTTGCACAGCACAGTCAGAACTGAGTGAAGAAAACCCCATGCCTCTCATTGCAATTACAGCTAATAAGAAAGCCATAATAAGTTATCAACAGACAACAACCTTCTTAGAAGAGACCCTCCTCCTCTGTACATAACTATGAGGTGCAGCCCCACTTCAAGCTCAAATGCTAACAATTGTTCTGAAGCTTCATCCCTTTAGCAAAACCAGCACAGAATATTTTTGTGACCACACAATCTTTCAGGAGCCACAGTACTTCATTTCAGCACTGTTTTGTAGCAACGAGTTCCAGCGGATCATTTTGTGCCTGGAAAAATCAATCTCGGTCTTATCTTTAAATTCCACCCCCAAGTCCCCCTTTGCATTTAAGCAGAGAACTCCTATGCTCTTTTTTTCGTTCTGTCTGTATAATTCCTTTCAGTAACAAAGGTGACATTAGCACTTTCCAACTCTACCACAGTCTTTTCAAGTATTTTCACCTGGTGCAATGCACTCTCTCAGTAAAAAAATGGATTCCTCTAAAGGCTCCTGCTGGCTGCAGCTACAGAAAAAAACAAAAGTATGAGCAGCCAGCTCACCTTCTTTCATTCTGAAAGACCCCCATTTCTTTCTCTAGCCAGCTTTAAGCGTTTCTGCTTGCTCATAACCAAGCATCCCTCTTTCTGAAGGCGTGAAAACCCTCCCTCATGCACAGGGCAGGAGAGCACACAGTTTATTCTACTCTTTTTGAAGTGGGAGATGAGCAAAACTGAACCTCATGAGATCCCGCCTCTCAGTAGCATCCTCCACTTCTTCATCCTTTTACTTTAAATACAGCCTAACAGCTTGTATTTTGTACCAACACTAAGTGCAAATCTGTTCATGATTTCCTTCCCACACCCTCCCACTGTCTCAGCGGAGGAAGTCCACATCGTTTATATACTTGATAGTTCTCAGAGTAGCTTATGTTGTTCCTTTCAGCGTGCATTTCCTAGCACCTGTCTGCAGCAAATTCCATGTGTCACAGGGCTGTCCCATTGCCTTATTTTGTTAAAGCACGAGATGCTTCCCAAGGAACTAAATCTTTTCTAACTGTTCTTTCCAGCCAGTTTTCCCACCTCACAGTTTGCTTCTTTTGCACGTGTTTCATAATCGTATTGATTGACCTCATTCCCAGTGCTGCTCCTGGGGGCACCAGCCTATTTTTACTTCCTCCAAAGATGAAAAAAATTGGTCATTTATTTCTGCTTTGCCTCTCTCCCTCATATCAATGATGTAATTTTCCCTCTCACCTGTGAGTAGACCTCTGCCCTAAAAGAACTGAGCAAAGCCTTCTCGCAGCCCAAAGTAAAGAGAAAACGTCAAACAGTCAAACACTTCTAGTCAGCATTCTGCTGACTCCCAGACCCAGGTCTCAGGGGTCAACGAGGCATACCTTTCTGTTCCAAAAGGAAACCTTAAGCAAATACTCATGCAAGCTCAGACCTGAAAACCAGTACCCATTCTCCACCCATTACTCCAGAATGCAAGTAGGCCAAATGAGGAGGCAATTTCTTCTTTCGCTACAGCCCCACCACTCCTTCCCCATGAATCACCTCTTCCTCTACCTTCCCAAGGAACTCAACTACAGCTTCATCCTTCTCTTCTACTCCCAGATAATTAAGAGTGACTTCAGCCAGCCATGGAATGGCACTATCAGACAGACTGCCTCCTCCCTGCACAAGCTGGGGAAGCTGTCCAGTGCCAGCTCAGGTGTTTCAAATCACTTTGGCTGCTCCCAGAAGCACCCTGTGATCTGTGATTTCTCCTATGATCTCTGCTCTAGGATTTGCCAGTCTGACATTAGCACACCTGCCAAAAACCTTCACCTGAGATTCACCTTCACAGAATACAACAGAGAAGGAATACACACCAGAATTGCTTTACTTCTTGCTGGCCAAGGTAACTACCACAAAACGATTAAACACTCTTAATCCAACTAATCCATGAAATTCCATCACATGCACAGGTTCCTAGGAATATATGACTGTTACGTGTGCACAGTTCAAGTTACAGTCAAAGTGGTGTTTGAAGAGACAAGACACATGAAGGGCTGGAGGGCTGTGTACCCAAGGATTTACAGGGCAAATCCTTTGAAGCAGTGCTGTATTTGGACTTCAGTCTCCATTTAGGAAGGATTGAGTTACTGAGTGCTGTTCATATGAAAGGCAACGGCAGGATGGGCAGGAAGGGTGAATGTTAATAAAACGGTTTGTCACTGCCCCTCAGAATCCTGTTTCCAGGCAGACGAGAATACCACCACCATCTGAAGCTATCCTGTGCCCATCTTATTAGTCACTGCTGTGTTACTTTGCTCTCGGTACTCTTTTCTGCTTCAGGAGCTCCTGTAGTTAGATTCAACGTGACTTCAGAGCTGCAGAGAAGCAGGAGGCGCACAGGGACAGCCCTCCTGTGCACTGGGGACAAGGGAAAAGGGGGCCTGCAGGAGAAAGAATATATTCACCTGCCTTCAAAACCCAGGCACAGAGCCAAGCCAACCTTCCCATCCCAGTGCTTTTCTTTGCGGAAGTAATACATGTGGCAGATTAAATCTATCTAGTGGATTATCTCTTAATCCACAGAGACTTTTATTTTTATCTATGCAGATATTAAAGCCAATCTTTCAGCTGCTTTGACTCAAGCTTTCACATCCTCCATCCCTCTAAAATCTTTACACTGTCAAGCCCCATGCACCCCTCACCTTCAGCTGAGGGCTCCCTTCTCTTAAAGCCTCATGTTCTTCCCCATTTTAGAGAGGACTCCCTCTAAGCACCTAGAGCAGTTCTCAGGAATATTTCCCCCTCTCCTCACTGCTGCCCTGACAGGCAGCATCTTCGAGCCCATCTGTAGCCATGGAGTTTATCATTTCCTATTATCTCCTTAAAACTTCTCTGATAATCCTCATATTCAGGCAGCTACAGAGAAATCTCCTCTGCTTCATCTGTGCCTGTTCAGAGGGGAAAGATTATTGTTCTCTTACTCCCACAGGAAAACACACAAAGAATTTGGGATGTGGCACGAAAGACACATGATGCAATAACAATAACAATATTCCTCTTAGTCTCCAAGCACTCCAAAGTGCCAAGTTAAAATTGAGATTTTTTATCACCTGTATTTGCTTGGGATCACACAACATTGGAAAAAAAGAAAAAATTAAAATCAAAGCAGGTTTGAAGGTAGGCTGACAGGTTACCAGAAAGGTGACTGAACAAAGCAGCTTGAGGAAAGACAGAATTGAGCTGGAGGGAAGTATCACAGCAGAAAGAGGTCCTTTGCTGTCCACGTTCAGCACACACATCACCCAAAAGTGACAGGGACGACAAAACTTGGGACACAGGAGAGAGAAGAGGCGAACTCCACATCAAGGTGAATGAGAAAGGTGAGCCAGCAGAGCCTGGGAGCAAACCTCTCTGGAATACCAAAGAACTTCAATTTCATGTCTGAAGTACAAAAGTAAGTGATCAACCAAGGAGAAAGAACATTACAGAGTAGAATGAGAAACGAAGTTGCACAGGAGGATAAGGCATCCAAAGTATTAAATGACTTCTTTTTTCTTAAATGAGGACTGTTCACACCACAGCAAGTCAGACTTCTGGTCTCCTCCCAGCCTGGGCTCCAGTCCTGAGAGATAGCAGGGAGAGCTTGGCATTGTTATTCTAAACCTAGGTACACACTGTAAATTTGTTCTATAAACCCTTGGCTTTTTGCCTAGAAGTCAAGCTGGTTTTTGGGCCCCCCCCCCCCCCTAACAAAGAGTGGCTTTATTAAATTCCTCCGTTACTGCAGGAGGTGTGAATCATAAGGGACAGCATTTATGGTTCTTGAAATTTAGCACATCCCCAGGCTCTACAAGGAGCCTGGTGCTGAAACTGGGTAACGGTGAAGAATAACACCGTTGGGTGCCACGTATCCAAATTACTGGTAGTAAAACCAGCAGGGTACCACAGCTGATCAATGATATACCATCAGACCTCTAGGAAAAGGTTCAATGGGTTTCCAAAAGGCTGTCAAGACGAGGAGAGACCATGTGCAGCTCAGGGAAAGGAATACATTGTTCCATGATGAAAGCAGAGCAAGGTGGTGCTGAGCCACCAAGTATCCATCTTTCCCCTCATGCTGTAGAGCCCACTTTTCCCTAGATCCCGGGAAATATGTCATCACTCTTTTCTACTACTATTTGTATGCTGTGGCAAAGAGTGACTGTAACTTCCAATTTGTGTAAGAATCTCCTTGGAAGAAGGCCATGGCTCCTCAGGTTGCTGAAGTGATCAACTATCAACCCTGGTACCCATTAATAAGGGCTTATGTGCAGAGTCTACTAAGGCCTAAACAAGCCAAGAGAGCTAGGCTAGAATACCTTAGTGCATCCTGGCTGGCTAACAAAGAATCATGTTTTATAAGGCACTAGAGCCTTCTTTACAGACAGCCTTACTGCAACAACCAGCACAGCCAGAAACGGGACTGTGAGAAGCTGGAGTCCCCTTCTCACCACTCCCACAGAATGATTCTACCCAGCAGCCAGCAACACTGCAGTATTGAGACAGAGAGGGCAAGAGAAAAGCTGCTAAAACGTTTACTGTTTACAGCAATCCAGGGAAGCGTTCAAAGCCAGCTCACAGTGTCAGTTCACCTCGAAAGTTGGGAAGGCAAAAAGCAAAAATGGACGCTTTTACAGAAAGCCAAACACATTCAGCCACTCAAAGAAAGATCAACTTGTTTGCTTTCTGCTCTCCTCTCTCCTTCATATTTAAGCAGTTTT